GTACCCAACTGATGATGTTGTCGCACCCTGTGTTCCCTTTTCCCTGCCGTAAGCTGTATGCTCTTAGTATTGCCTCCGGCCTCTCTTTGTGCTTTTCTTCTTTCTTTCTTTCTTGTTCTCCATGCCCTCTCTACGATCATCTTAGACGAAACCTCGAGCTCCTTGTTATTTTTGTTTTTTCCTTTGCTGGCTGCCTGCCACCTCTGCTGCCTCTTTGGTGCGGTGCCTACCCTACACTAATGCGCTGGTGCATACTGCACTGCTGTAGTACCTGGTACTGGTGTACGTTGTCCTTCGATTTTTTTTTTTTTTTGTGGGAATATATATGTGTTTGTTTTTCGCCCCCCGTCTTGCTGCACCCCCTGGGGTGTGGTGCAGGGCGGGGGATGCCTGGTCGGCGGGAACCCGGCACGGAACCCTCCGGCGTTGTAGGCGGGTGTGGGAAGCGTTCCCCGTTCTCCTTTTATTTTATTTTGATCGGTCTCCTCGACGCTCTTTCTCGTTTGGTGCGGTAGCTGGTCTTTCTTTCTATCATTTTGTTTCTCTTCCGAGTGGTTTTTGTACCCTATTTTTTTCTGTTTCTTCGTGGGGTCGTGTATGCCGGGTTTTGAGACCACGGGCTCCCAATCTTTCATTTTTAGAGCTAATGTGAGAAACAACAAACAACAACAACAACAACTTGCTCCGGCTGAACTTCAGCACCTCCAGCTTCTGCACGTTCTCGTATGCGCTGCGCCCGCTCGTTTCAGATACTCGCCGCAGTGTGAACGGAGCTGGCGGGTACTCTCTGGAAGGCGGGCCCTTCCTCTTCTTGGAATCACTCGCGGGACGAGACAAACTTCCCCAGCTGCNGAGAAACAACAAACAACAACAACAACAACTTGCTCCGGCTGAACTTCAGCACCTCCAGCTTCTGCACGTTCTCGTATGCGCTGCGCCCGCTCTTTCCAGATACTCGCCGCAGTGTGAACGGAGCTGGCGGGTACTCTCTGGAAGGCGGGCCCTTCCTCTTCTTGGAATCACTCGCGGGACGAGACAAACTTCCCCAGCTGCTGTCCTCCTTGCCGTCTTTCTTCTCTTTGTCTTCGTTGCCCTTGCCTTCCTCCTCCCTGCTTGTTGAACGCTTGCTCGTAAACCTTATCCATCTCAGTTTCGCTACTCTCTGTGAGTGCGTGGTTTGTGGACGATCAATCATTTTGCACAACGCCCCGGGGGGGGGCTTCCTAGCGTTGGAAAAAAAAAACAAAAACGCGGGACGTCAACTCCCCCCCGGAGGTGTTGGTTTCTGAAAAAAACGATCCCCTCCCCAACGGGAAAATCCCTTAGTTTACGGTACGCACTTGTGTCTATAGTTTGACCCACTTTTTTCCAAATTGTACCCACTTTTGTCCACTGACGGACGGCGAAAATCGAGCGGAAATCGACCTCCAGGTAACCGCACGGGAGAACATCGAATAGCCTCGGAACGTCTCAGAACGTCCCAACGTCGAATCCATGGCATCTTTCCTATCCATGACTGCCGATCGCGGACCGATCGCGGAGGAACATGTCAGAAACATGCCAGACCCCTTTACTACAATTGCACCGGTAAGGGAAGGTACCAGGCACGGGAAGATACCCGCAGCAAGCCCGACAAGCAGCGCACTAAATACTAACGGCACGCCACAAATATATGCGTGACACACAACGGACAACAACACCAACGGGCGCGCATACAGAACAAATAGACGCGCATAGACTACAGGAACACAGACACACAGAGAGCCGGTTAGCGCGGTCGATGCTAATAATAAAAGCACACACGCGCCACACACACACCCGATCGCCCCGGTGGTCTAGCGGGTCGCCTCGCAGCCTGCTATCGTCCAGGTCATGGGTTCGAGTCCAGGCAGAGTAAGTGTATTCTTTGTATTTAAATCCTGGTCTTCGTTGGAAGCGACGCGCTTCAAAGCTCGTTGTTAGTAAACTTGATCGACTTCATCAATCGCGAGGGAAGGGATTGCTGTAGACTAGTCTACCCTTCTCACGATAGAAATATCTCAGACAGGAACCTCAGGAGGAGGTTCAACCCCCCCCTCCTATGTGACCCCGGTTGAGTCGTCTTGCTGGTAGAAGTGGAGGATAGGGGCCAGAGGGGCCGACGACAGAGTCTAACGATGGGAGAAAACAAACAAAAAATAACAAAACACACAAAAACACCAACCACCACTACGAGTGCACACCGACTCGTGAGGGCAGCACAGCATGTCGAGGCAGTTTACGTGATGTTGGGGTTCTCATACGTACTACATGTATGTATATATATTTGTCTTCACTTCAGCGCTCACAGCACGGGTGGTGCTGTTTACTCCAACCCGTGGTCAAACAGAAGAGCCGCTCTCTACCCTCCCCCCCTGCGATTCTTCGCCTTCGTTATTTAATGCGAGAAGAATTCAGCACTCTCTTCCTTCTGTGTACACACGAACTAGCGCTATCCACTAGGCCAGGAGCGGAAGGGAGAGAAAAACTCACTTTGCTAGAACAGCCCGCTTACGCCGGGATTCGAACCCTTGACCTGACCTCTAGAAGGTTTCGAGGTTACCGACTAGACCACCTGGGCGACGGGGCAACCGATGTAGATACGTGTATACGAAGACTCTGACCACAACTTCGTGCTTACGACTGTCCGCTTCCCCCCCCCGTGTCGCGCCCAACCGACGAGTGCGGGGGAACAGCGGAAGCAGCCGGATCCGTATCGACTTCCAGCGGTTAAGGAAGGATAAACACTTACAAGTCGCCTTCCAGAACAGGGCCTCCAGCCGCCCTCCGCCCACGGTGCTCAGGCGGCCAACGGGAGAGACCGCCGCCGAGCTGACGGCTACGGTGATGTCGGCCGCTGCTGAGACCGCGCCGCTGGCGAGGTGCGCACGAGGGCAGAGAGGCTGGTACACGAGCAAAGCGCAGCACGAGATCTCCAAAGCGTCAAAGAGATTAAGGCGGCCCAGCAGCAACTGCGTGGGGCGTCAAAGAACAGCGCTTTCGAGCCGACCCTGAAGGCGATACTCAAGGCGGCGCGGAAGAAGCGCAGCATCGCGAGGTGGAGAGCACTGAAAACGTTCTGCGAGGGCTATGTACGGCAGCTCGGAAAGAAGAGCCGCGAGGGGGATCAGGCGGGTTTCTACAGGCACCTGAAGATGGTCGACGTCGAAGGCAAGAGGTCGCTCATCTCTCAGAACATCAAGGACGAGGACGGCAAGGTCCTTCGGGACCCCACGTTTATTCGCCAACGGTGGGTACGGTGGTTCCACAAGCATCTCAACACCAAGTCGCCGACCATCGACCTGCATGCGGCTGACAAGGTCAAGCGGTGGCCCACGTGCGTGCCACTCGACGACATCCCATCTCTACTTGAGGTTGAGGAAGCGGTACGGGAAATGGCCAACAGAAAGGCCGTCGGGCTGGACGACCTACCGGCTGAGATGATCAAGACAACAACAACAACAACAACAACAACAACAACAACAACAACAACAACAACAACACCAACACCAACAACAACAACAACGGAAAGGCCGGCGCTCCGCCGGCGCCGGCTCTACTCAACCGGCGCTAGTCACCCCGCCCCCACTGCTGTGTTTCCATGCAGGACTATGCGAAGGACACGCGGACTGGCCTGGAAGAAGTCGAGCGGATGGACGACAACGACGTAGGACTTCAGACGCTCAACTCGTTCGGGCAGGTCCACAGGCTGGTGAACGCCTCTCACTACCACGCCAGGACCCGGGCCGCGGCCCAGACGCTTTACAACCTCCGATACGATGTATGGTGACTCCGGTGACTGTAATGGTATATCGTATTGTCATATTGGAAGGGTAAGGCCTCTTCTTCAAGTGTCTACGGTAGCGGCATAGCATTGTCTCTTCTTCACGGAGCATAAACTTGGTAAGACATGACCTTGTCCGTCCTTGTCACGAGACTGGCGAGGAAGCACGCCCGCTACTAGCCCCCGCCTTGATTTCGGGCACCGCAGCCTTCCTTGACTCCGCAGCCTTCCTTGACTCACTGACGCATTTTACTGGCTTGCCACCATCAGAACAGGAGTAAGAATGTCTGCTCGAAAGAGAGGACGCCAAAGATAACCCCTGCTACGTGTCTCACTGACGGTCAAGGTTTTTCAGTGCGTTCCGCCTCGGCGGTTAACTCTCTAGTGCCCGCTCCGTCTATCTCGAATAAATGTGATGGATGCCACACCCCGCCGCCGTTCCCACCCCAGGAAAATATCCCAGCGTTCTGGTCTTGGGCAAACCCCAAGAATGAACCACAGTGGGAGCGGGTCGTCAACGTGGACGTGATCATAAACACGGAGATCGTGCTCTGGGCCGCCGTCAACGGTGGGAAAGCCAACTACTCCGCCGCCGCGGCAAGGTGAGACAGGGCCTGGGCAAGTCGGCGACGAGAAATATTCCATGATGCCGTGCACAAATTGACGATGTACGTACTGCGGAGGCATTTGGTTGGCAGCATGGACAATACCGGAAACACGCACCCTTGAACCAGCGAGCATCTCATGCCGGGGGGGGGCTTGTCCGTGATGCCCAGAGAAATAAGGACCACCTCCTTGTTTCGATGAGAAACTAAAATTCTTGACAACCGCCGGACATCTGCGTGGCGAGCATAAAGCTTCACGAGAGCACCACATTGGGTTCCGACCCATGAGTGCCCGTGAGCTAGGTAATCAAGACTTTGGTTGTCTGTCTTTCCGTCAGGAAAATAGTCATGTCACCCTTATTCCGACGACCACTAGATTCGCTCGACCAATTATCTATCTGTGTCTCGCTCGCAGCCACGCCGACACCACGTGGGCAGACGCGGACAACGACCCATCGTCGGGGGAGCTAGTAGACCACCATGTCCATGTGAATGATTGGTAACCCGATTATTGGCGGGTGTTCTAACTGTCGTTCGTCCCTGCTGGCGCAACCAAGGAGCCGCGGTAGTACAAACGCGTACCGTCGTTAACGGGCCTGAGAATGGTTTACCGCTCCTGCATACAGAAGAATATTTTCCGCTATACGTATGAGATACGACGCCCCTCTAAACGAAGATCGTCGTAGCGATCCGAAAAGCATACAGACGCCGCCAGCGCCGCCTTTCTCTATCCTCCTTGCGTAGCTGTCCATGCCTCCGATTTGACCTTCTGGGGGATGCCGTACTTCACGACACGAAGACAAGAAGAGGCATACGTTGAGGACATTGTCAACTGATTGTCGATCGTGTGTTCTTGTTCCGCTTGGGGCTGGTTGCTATGGTGTTGTTGCTCTTCGCCGTTCACACCATCCCCCGTCAGACCTTCCCGCCTCCTGTGGAATGGTTGCCACCACGAAGTTCGGCTCTGCTTGTGTCGATTTTGTGCACGATGTTATCCCTTTTACAAGAGGACATCAACGCAGTATTATTTTAGTAAGCTTACGAACGCATGTAGGATACCATGAGGATTGTCATTGGTTTTACTTCAAATTGAAGAGGAGATATTTTTACGATGTAAGTGACAGTAGAAATAAGTCCTACATATGCTGTTGTACTTCGTATTGGTTTAATATTCATGTAGAGTATGAGACATTAAGTGAAAGTTTTCTGGGGTACATCTGCAATTGTCGGAAGGCAAAAAAAAAAGAAATGTTATCCCCAACTTCCTCCAGAGATTCCCGGTGATTTGTTCCCGCGAAAAGAATGTACATCGCCTTCTGGGATCACCCCGAGGTTCACTTCAGGGGGAGCTCATGCTCGACTTCACCGTCAAGGTGCCGGATTTTGGCGAACCCGAAATAAATACCTAATCGAAAATACGTGCGGTACTGATGACCAAGATCTATGCCGACGATGGCCTATTGGGGACGTTGTTGCCCGCCCTATCGTCAAACAGCCTTCCCTCCCCCCTCCCCGAGGAACGAAAGTGTGATGCTGTGAATCTACCTCTTCGTGCTTGGCAAGCCGGGACGGGACGAAATTTGCCGCCATCCAAAGCAACCCCCGTGAGAATGATTCCACGAAACCCCACCGGCGATGGTTCGGGAGCACCCGTTGGTGGGAAATTAGGGCCTCCTTGACCATGAATAACTCGCAACACCAGATCCCGAAACAACTATCATTTGCGAAGAAAACGACGTTTTTTTGTCACTGCAGAGCCCGTGCTGATCTTGGAGGTGATCTGGGAAGCAAGCATTCGTCCTTGTAGTACCTACCTATCGATGTTCCGACCACACCTTGAACCTTTGTCACATGTTCTTCTACATTCTCTCCGCAGGCGCGTACCAGGGGTGGCAAGACGACTCTACTTGGTCCAGGGGGCAGGCATGGGCCATGTACGGCTTCACCATGGTACACCGCTATCTTAAGAAGCAGAGGTTCTTGGAATATGCCATCAACACCCTCAGGTAAAAACACCACATTGAGTAGCGCGTTGGCCAGGTAATTTCACTCCCTGCTTCAGAAACGATCGATTGGTGGAGGGGATAGGAAGGCCGACCGGGCACGTTGCTTGCGGTTTCTGGTTGTCTACACCACGGAATACAAAATTGACCACTGCCTGGCCAACTACCTGATGGCGAGTCCTGGTCTTTAAACTATCGTGACAGCTACTTCATCGACAGCCTTCCCGACGACAACGTGCCCTACGCCGACTTTGACGCTCCCGTGGACTCGGACAACCCCAAGGACTCGTCAGTCACGGCTATAGTAACCTCCGCCCTCTTGGAACTCTTCGAACTAATCGGTAAGTGTAGGTGGCATGATTCATTGTTGAACAGGACCTGGTTGTCCTGTATTGGATGCCAAACGTTGATGCTACAATACAACCGACTCGGTGTTGCTCCCCTGGTTGCTCGATTTGTCCTCGGGATATTGGCGCTCTGTGTCTCCGTGCCACCGTAAAACTCTCCAAACCCACGCAGCCATGTCTTTTTCATATACCACCACAGGCTGCAGTATTTTTGCTTGACGTCACTGCAGCGAGCGCGCACTACACGCACCTTCCCTTCCAACACCTCTCTTGATTTTCCTGCCGACAAAACACAGGAGAACCGAGCTACCTCGAGAAGGCCCAGGAGTTCTTGTCTTCGCTGCTGCTATCGTCCACCTACTTCGACTCCTTGGCAACCGACGGGTGGCAAGCAATCCTCAGAAACTCGGCGCCGGCATGGGGTGATGAGGCGGTGGGTCCGTCACCGCGGACTACTTTCTCCTGGAATCGATGGTGAGTGCGAGGGTCTTTTGCTAAGCGTTCAGGATGATGTAGGACGCCTGCTTGCTGCGACAACCGTGTTCCTGTTGGTATCAGCGATGCCAGTCACGTAGGGTGAGCGGGATATTTAACATTGCGGAGCAGGTGACTTCGACTTTGTCGTTCATTCAGAGCTTGTGCCAATGTAGACTTCTGGCGATGTCTCTGGCCTCGGTGCCTTCGTGGCAACCCCAGGGAAAGTGTCATAGATGAATCTTCTTGTAGACGTCGAGCAGTGCGAACGCCATGCCCTTGCGCTGCCCCTAACATCGACCTCAATAGGGCGTCCTCAAAGATGGCTAAACAGGCTCCGACCCCCTACCAAAGGCTCTTAAACCCAGCGTGTCACTGACTTGTCTGTGTCGTGGCTCTTTGCCACCCCATCCCATTGGCGCGGGCGTCAGGTCCGGTACATGACCATGGCCCCTTCTATGATTCTGCGGGACGAGGTGGAGGCCAGCATCACCGACGACCAGCTCTGGGTCCAGTTCTCTGGAAGCGATCTCGACAACAACATCGACCCCTCCGGACCATCGGAAGAATCTCCCGTCATCGTTTGGTGAGGTTACTGAGAGCCGCTAACCAAAGAAGAGTTGGCCAAAAACGACAGTCCGCTCGTGAAGATGAGTTTTCGTGGGGGAAGCTTTGGTGCAAGGCGACATATCATGAGTTCTGGTGAAGACGAGCTTCGTTCTTTGAGTGAAGTCTCGAAACAACAAGCCGAGATCTCCAACGCCGTCCGAAACACTCTCTTTGCCTTGTTGTTCCGGTGGATAACCGGACATGCATCCTACGCCGGACGCTACCGTGTCAAGAACGGGCTCGGCTACTGCAAGGGGTGTCTCGGGCCTTTCCATGTGTATTTTCCGTGTACGGCTCCCCGGGGGATTACGACGTGTTGAGTCTCGAAGAAATCGGTGCTCGGCGCCCAGGAGCCCGTAGCCCGCCACGCCGCGGTGTGGCGGCGCACAACTCGAAGCTAGCTTCCGTGACGCACGGCGGCGAACGATTTCAGTGGTGAATGCGCTGCGGTTCGACAAACGACGTTCGTTAACCCTTTTCAGTAGTGAATGTGTTGCAGCTGGACAAATGACGTTCGGCAAACCCTTTCAGCCGTGAAACTTCCCGGGCCCTTTTTTGTAGTGATTGTGTTGCGGAAGCGACATTTGGCGGCCCCTTTCAGTAGCGACGGTGTTACGGCTCTCGACGAACGACCCTTGTTTCAAAAGAGGTACCCACCACCTGACGTCTTACCGATTCACCCTCGACGATACGCGATGCAACCAGGGACGGAGCTACTCTGACCGCCTCCAGCACCGCGTTGGATAGAGTTCAAGAACTGTTGTGACAAGGAGGGACTGCACTGCCTAGCAAGGGGACAAGTAGGTGTGGTGTGGATGAGCCTCGACTCTGGGTCGTCGTCCGCGAAGGTGCTGATCGAGCCGCCCTGTGGAGGCTGGGTCACGGGTTCGAACAGGTAGCGATGAAATCGTACCTTGCCATACGAGATCGTGTGAAGTCTGCCTTTTTTTTTTGCCATGCAGAATATGTGCTTGCCTCTCATTGTTGAGAGTCACGGGGCTCGAACAGGGGCGCTTTGCCACACACGCTAGCGTGTGAAATCTGCTATTTGTTTCTTCTCTGCAGCAAACATGCTTGTTGAGAGTCATGCGTTTAACAGATTAATGAAGTCTCTTCAGACGAGAAACAACGTGAAACCGATCTGTGATTTGGTCTACGCGGCAAACACGCTTGCCGCTCATGGTTGAAAATCACAACTTGACTATCACCCCGTCGAAGGACCACGAAACGAGTATTTTTCAGCAACCTTCACGAGAAAAGAAAAACTGCCAGCCAGGACGTAGGTGGAGACACCAACGCCGCCTAGAGGGAAAGGGTATCAAGGCAATGCTTATGCGAAGGGCGAAAACAGCAGTGGGTGTTTCGCTTGATTTCAATGTGACCTGGAGCGCATTGTGTCGTGATTGGCGAGAAACTCTAAACAGTGAGGTCCGTCGCCGTATGGCCACAAGGATCTCTTGGGAGCACTTTCAAGCTTTAGGTCGATGAGCGAAACAGTTGGCGTTCGGCTCCAGCGTTGCAAACTTACCTCTCTTGCTGGCTACCAACCTCGGCTGACAGAGAAACTGACTTCCACGCCCAGTAGCGGCATCTATGTTCAGGTTGGTTTTGGCGCGGAACTCGCCACGAAATAGGGTCAGGGTCACCGCTTCCCCACATCTCACCGTCCGCCCCACATCTCCCCCCCCCCCCCCCCCCCCCCCCCCCCCCCCCCCCCCCCCCCCCC